AAATTCGATCTATCTAAATAGCATACACGAAAATATGAGTTGAGATAAATTACAAATTTGTTTAAAAGAATAAAAAATCAAAAGTTTAAGCAAGTACAGCTCTCCTTTGTGCTTATGATTTTGAAAATTAATTAGTTAAGCACTTTTGAATAAGGTCTATGCAACATACGAATCGAATCAAATCAAATATCGAGATATTCAATTTGGATTCGTTTATTCGTTTAGAATGACATACATTCTGGTTCAAATTTGACAATAATTCAAACCTAAAAATATTTTTGCATTCGATTCGAGAGCGTATTCGAATATTTGAATTCCAAAAGAGTGAAAATTCTATTAACACGCAAATCCTGAAGACAAGTAAATGAGATGGGGTTAGTTTGGAAAGATCTTGGCCATCAATTTTAACATAAGGTATAAAAATAATCTTCAGCACAATTTATTTATTTATTTATATTCTATAATATATGAACTATAAATGAATGTGACCTCTTGGTATTCATATTCAGATTCAACTTTTTTTAAACGTTATTCGGATTCGAATGGATTTGTATTCGAAATCGAATTCAATTAAATCAAATATGAATCAACTTTTTCAAATACGAATCACGAATTAAATTAAATATTTGATTTATATACACCCCTACTTTTGAACTTAACCAAATACTACCTCCGTCCCAGTGTATTTGTCTAGTTTGACTTTTTCGAGTCAAATTGGACAAACTTTGAACTCCAATTAGGGCCTGTTTGGGAATAGCTTTAGAGATTAGCGTTAGTGTTTTGAAAAGGCTATCTACGGCCAGCGTTTAGCGTTAGCGTTTTCAAAGTAATCTGCACCGTTAAAATCTTATCCAAAACGCTAACGCTAATCTCTAACGCTATTCCCAAACAGGTTACTCTCAATTTATATTGCATATTAGCGTAATAAAATACAATTTTGAAAGTTCTCAATACAATAAATTCAATAAATTCATTTTTATGTTAAAATACATTACGGTTTTTATTTAATTAAAGCTCAAAATTTGTCTAGTTTAACTCAAAAAAGTCAAACTGGATAAATACACTAGGACGGATGGAGTACATATCTTTTAATGTGTAATGATGGAGCTTGGAAAATATAATGATGAAGGTGTGAAGGAGTGCATTGTAGATTTTCACTTCTCACACTATAACTTTTAGCCCGAACTATTCTAATGTTTCTCTGTGTTAGTGTTTATTGACTTATTGCTGATAAGAACTTTTCATTTCAACTTATAAGCTGCTTATAAGAAAAATATTCTTTCATGGAAGTGAAAGAACTTAAATATTAGATAAGTCACTTGAAAATATTCATAAGTGGTGAGAGACATTTCTGTAAATAATATGGTCAAAATAGAGAAACAGAAAAAATGACTTAAAAATAAGTAGTTAAGACCTACTTTTTTTTGGTGTATAAGCAACTTATAAGTAAGCTTATGAACACACAGAAACATGTCATCAACTGACTTTTAAATAAAGAAACTACTTATAAATAGTTTTGATCAGCTTTTAAACATAGAGAAGCACTCGCATAATGTCAATGTGTTGTTTTTAGAAAGATTGACTAGTCTAATCTCTTATCAAAACAGTAGACTGATTCACTAATTGAACCATTAGTGAGGATAATAGTTATTAATGACAAATAGGGATGATAGTTCTACCCAAATTCGACCTTTACCAACCCGATCAGAGCTTATAATATCTGAACCCGAACTAAAAAATTAAATATTTAAAACCGACCCAAACATATTTAAACCGAACCCGACTCTTGTAGGGTTGGGTTTGGGTCAGTATATTTGACCGGCCCAAACCGTACCCGACCGAACTTGACTTTCAATAAGTTTTAGTAACCCTAAATTCCTATACTCCATGTATTTTTGATACAAGTGTTTTGAATGTTTTAAAATTTAGTGTATTTCTTTGTGCTTTATTTTTTATTGTGGATAAGTGTTGTTTTTTATTGTGGATAAATGTTGTGTGTCACCCTATTTTTATTATCTTTGTAGTCCATATATTATTTGTTAAAACTTATTGTTTGATTTTTTCGATGGCCACTCGGTCATAAATATTTTTTTTAATGTCTTGATTTTATGTTGTCTTTCATTTTTTTAAATTTTTAATGTATGTCAATATAAAAAATTTCATTTATACTTTTATTAGTATTCAAACCCAAATTTGACCGTAACTCATCCGATCGAATCTTAAACTGAATCTGAATAAAAAAAATAAATATCCAAAACTGACCTGCCAAAATCAAACCCAAACCGAAATTAAGTCCGGTCGAATTTCAATATATTCAAACTCGAACAAACCTAACTCATTGTCATCCCTAATGACAAATGAGGCACGATAAGTAGGCGATGACAATGGGTAATGGTTGAGAGAAACATCAAAATCTTTGAATAGATATCTGTCAAATTCAATGATATCAAAATATCTCATTTATCTGATATAGCGAGATATCAAATCTTGATTATGTTTAAGAATAAATCAATGCTTATTTATGTAGTAAAAAATACTTATTTTATTCATATGTAAATCTATAGTAAACTTGAAGTCCATCATATAATAGAATTTGCCTTCTAATTATGGTTTTACATGTACTCTCTCCGTCCTATATTGATCTTCCCACTTTCCTTTTTTCTCCGTCCTAAAATCATCTTCCCACTTCTAAAAAAAAGTAGGTAAATGACTTTAATACCCTTTAGTTCCATCGTTTCTCCTTCTCTTCCTACTTCATTTGATCTTTTTCTCCATTTCTTCTCTCCCTGTTCGCCCTTCTCTCTTTCCCTTTCTTGTCTTTCTTCTTTCTTCCCTTTGTTCTCTTTCTTTTCTTTCTCGTTCTCCCTTCTCTCTATCTTCTCTTTTTCAGATTTTTCCTTTCTTGTCTTTCTTCTTTCTCCCTTTCTTCTTTCGGATCTAATTATTGAAGCCAAATCAGCGAGATGGGTTAGTGGATCTACATGACCGAGATGGTGCAGATGGCTTCGGAGATCCAAATCGAGATGGTGCAGATGGGTTGGAGATCCAAATCCAAATGGTACAGAAGGGGTCGGCGGTGCATATGGGTTAGGAGATCCAAATCTGTATTTTTTTTTGTGAAAATTTGTTCCCAGATCTGCTTGGCAACGAGATGGGTTAGGAGATCCAAAAATTTTGTTCCCAGAAAATCCTCTGTTTTTCCGATTGCCGCCGTCAAAGAAAATCCTAGATCTAGCTTGAGTTCCTATTTCGCTTTTCAATTTACAAGAGCCCTACTTGATTTCCTATTTCTTTTTTCAGAAGCTTCTGAATTTTATTTGAATTCTTCCAATGCTAAAGCTTCAAATCAATTAACGTCGTCCAAGTCGCCACGCACAGAGCGAAAGAAGGCGAGTTCCTATTTCTTTTTTCTTTCTTTTTTTGCTTCATCACAGTGATGAAAGGGTGACTTCCTGGGTTGGAGTTTTTAACTTTTTGTTTTTTCAATTTCTTCAACTTGACGGGAGAAGATATTTAAAAAGGGATGGAATTGGGTTTTTTCACCACCGCTTCTGTCACCGAGGAATTAGTTGAGCCGCCGCCGATGCTTAATTCGCCAGAAAGAGGGATCATTCTTTTTTTAATTTGGATGGGAGTTGGGATGTTCTCTAAATTTTAGAATGAGGGTATTTTTGGAAGGTCAAAGGTATATTTACTCATTCCTTAAAAATGGGCTAAAGTCAATCTGAGAAGGTCAATATAGGACGGAGGGAGTATATTTTTTTGGGTTCGTCGTCACTGTTCACAGCGCTGAATTGAACTCCAGGGCTGGGCAGTGGCACCATTGAGATAATAACAATTTTAGATGTAAAAACATTTTTTTTGCTTATTTTATTCTAATAAATATATTAAGAAAATGATAATTTTTTAAAAAAAAATAAATTATTTTTATTTTATTAGAATATTTTTAATTTTTATCGATTTCATAAACAAAGTTTTTTAATAGCTAATTATAATAGTTCATGTTACAACAATGTATATATTTATAAAATAATTCATACTCCCTCCGTCTACAAATAAACTTTACGTTAACTATTCACAGAGGTAAACTTTATTCACTTTGTTGGCCTATTTTCATCACTCATTTGATAAAATAATATAGTCATCTCACCTCTAGTTTTGTAGATCTTTTGATATAGTTTTTTAATATGTAATTTATATTTTTCAATTGTACACCATTTTTCATATAAAATGATTTGACTTCAGTCAACGCGTAATGTAAAGTTTATTTGTGGACGATGGGAGTATTTATGTATAAATAATCTATGGATTATAAACAATCAAATAGAATCATATAAAATTCTGCTGACAAAATACAATTAAAATATATTAAAACTCTACATAGACATAAAACAATCCATAGATTTTGCATACTTTATAGACTTTAAACAATCTATCTAAATCTTTCATAATCCTAATTGAATACACTCCTTGGTTTACACTTTTGAATGTACAAAACTTTTATTTTTAAAAAATTGAAAATACATTCACATAAAGAAAGATCAACAATTTAAAAATATATAATTAAATGCAAAATTATTTATAAAACTTTGTTTAATTTATACTTCATATTTCACAAACAAAAGAGAACGAATGACAATAAAAAAATATTTTAAATATTTGTTAGTTTTTCATATCTCTAAAAAATTAAAATTGAAATAAAAAATTATATAAATAAAAAATTATTTATAATTCACACTTGAACCAACTTTTTAAAATCAAATTATATTTTTAATGAAAAAATATAAAAATATTTGTTATTTTTCGATATAAATTATCTCGATCCCAAATACCGGACTGACCATTCAGTTCGATATGAACACAGTTCATTTTTTATATTTTATCGGTTAGACATTTTTTGATTTGATAATCTCAATTTTTTCGGAAAATTTCGATATCTTGCTCACCCCTATTCAACACAATGAAATCCAGTTCAAGGATTGTTTGCTCTTCTTCATAAACCAAATTCTCTTCCTGAATTACAATCATGCCATTCCAGCTTAATTACACAAGTTAATACTTCCTTGGTAGTAATACATGCTCGATTAATTATAATTAGTAGAAAAATAGGCACCCCTAATTACATAGTTTTTGTTTGGTCCCTCATTTCTCACCCTCTTGAATCCCTCCCCGATGATTTGTATGAGAAGGAAAAATAAGAACTTTTTGGGGACTTTTTTTAAGATGCTGAAAATACAGGGGCTGCCAGTTGATTTCTAAAAAGATGTACTCGGATCCGAATTCACAATTCGAGTCGGAGCACCCGTCTCAAGTACCGGGTAGCCGAATCGTCGAGCCCGTCTTGCTCTCTGTTCGGGTTGGAGAAGAACGAAGGCACCGGCAAGGATCTCGGCGACGGCGAGTTCGAGAAAGCCGATCCGGCGTAAACGTCGCCGACTCGCTCAGTCGTCTCCGCCGGCACGGGTTCCCGGATCTTCGAGTCCAGCGAGCCCAGCGACTCCCCCCGCCGCAGAATCGTGACCCGGCCCATCACGAGCTCGCCGGGATTCAAGTTCCCGGCGCTGGGAGATCTCTTCGTCTCCGCGCTGCACCTCCTCTTCTCCGACCGACCCGCCGGCTTCCGGTAGCGAGGACAAAAAGCGCCGTTCCCGTTCCCGTGTCCGATTTTCCGGCGATGAAACGGGGTCACCCTCTGGACCAAACAATCATGGGGTATCATAACCTCCGTTCCCATTTCTCCCCCCTCCGAAAAATTCAAACGAGAAAACAAAGAAAAACTCACAAGATCCTAAAGATC